CCTAAAGAAAATCAATAACCTTCCAAATAAGTGTTCTCACTGTATGACTGTGTTCAGGCAAGTCACTGGGAGTTCAACTTGCACAATTATTTCTATGCAGCTTCCAACATCAGCACCCAAGGCAGTGAAAAATGCTGAAAGCAAACACGAGAGCATCCTAATTGCAGGTAATCTAAAAAGCTTTCTTCAAGACAACTCCCTCCCAAGCAGGAAGCTGCCTAGAGAGAGGACAGCAAATTCTGCCCTTTTACTAACCCAGGACTAAACTCTGCATCCAAGGGAAAATGGGACTGGAATTTTTTTCTTTTGAGCTAAAAAGACTAACTCCTCCTCCGTGGATGGCAAGGGGGCACAGGGGGACAGAAAGGGATTGAATGCAAACATAGGTAGTCCTTGATTTATGACCACAATGGAGCACAAAATTTGCGTTGCTCGGCAAGGCAATTGTTAATTGCTCAATTTGTCATAGATTTCGGCCTTGATTGACAGAGTTGTAAGCGAATCACCGCTGCTGTTAAATGGATCTGGCTTCCCCATTAATTTTGCTTTTCAGAAGGTTGCAAAAGTTCATCACATGACCCAGGGTCATTACAAGTGTCATAAATACATGCCGATCGCTAAGGGTCTGATGATCACATGACCATGGGGAGGTTGCGACAGTTGTTAATTGTGAAAAATGGTCATAAGTTAACTTTTTTTCAGTGCCGTTGATGGTTTTAAATCGAGGACTACCTGTGGGGTCCACAGTAGCCTGACAATTCAATCTGATAAAAACATTTATCACCTCCTCAATGCAAGAGGAAGGAAGCATGTCTGTCAAATTATCCAGATGCCAATCACCCGAATAGCAATGCTTGCATTTTCTTTCAGCTCTTGTTTGCAAGCACAGACACTCCACATGTCAAATCGTTTTGTTGGGGATTAAGCTAAAACAAAATACATTTTTCCTCTCACAGACAGAATCCTTTGTGCTTCTCTTCATATCCTGTGTTCTTCAGAGGAACAATACCACTACTGATTACGTAAGAGTAATACCATAATCCTCTTTAGAAAATTACTGTTAAGGTTATAACATTGTGCAGCTAATGAAAGTCAAGTGTGCATTTGTGTTAAAATATATAATACTTATCACACTATTATGAATATGAAATTGTGCTCTGCCAACAACTACAGAATATGCAAAAATAATAATAATAATGCTGTAGCATTTAGATATTTAAAATATAAACTTTCAAAGAAAAGTCATTCACAAAACTAAATCAACCTGATATTCAACTCGGTAAAATTGAAATCGTTTGCTAAAAGTGATTTATAAATCAGCATGTGTGTGTACTCTTTAATTTAGTCCTTTAAGGGACCCCACTCTTAAATTATTTCAGGTGAATGGGACTGAAGTGCTATTTTTGTTTGGAAGTTCAAGAAATGGGGCCAAATTTGTAATTCTGCTTTGGCATAAGTTCCCTTCACAAAGCTATCTTTATTTCCAATAGTTGCTCATAATCTTTGCTTGGCTAAAAACAAATTGTCAGATTTTTGCTCTATAGCCACAAAGCCTTGCTGTATGAATAATATAATCACAGTAAAAGTTGAGAATTGGAGAATAATGCAATACTATCTTTGATTTTTTTCCCCATGGGCACGTTTCCACAACAGCAGTTAACTTTCTCAACTTATATAGAAATGGATTGCTTTGAGTTTCCAATAACCTTCAATATTCATCTGTCAATAGATAAACAGCTAGGAATCCTTTTGAAAATATTCCAAAATACCAGATATGAAATCAGTAAAACGCCGTTTAAGCCTTAAGTGCTCTTGCTAGCTCTAAATAACTGTCAATCAATAAATAGAGATAATAAGCATTATTATCTAATAATTCTCTAATCAAATAGAGAATTTTTTAAACGAGATTTGTAACTGTAATACTATTTATCACTTATCATATACACGATGATACCCATGTAGTTCCTAATGACTAACCTTCTATCCGTCAGTGAAAGACGTGTGAGCAGAGTGATTATTTGCTCCCCATTCAGACTGATTTTGGGAGTCTTCCAGTTTTGCAATTTTAGGACCTCCGATAGACAGGAAGGAAATAAATGAAAAATCACCCTTTTATCTATTTTGACAGATTCCTTCAGTGGAATAACAATAACCAGGTATCTTTGCTAGTACCGAGGAATTAACTACAGTAGCTTTCTTTAACTTCTTCCCAAGAAACAAATCGGTATTAATTATATTATACTGAAGTCTACCTATGTCGGAAATGAATACAGACCTTATGAGACCCTATGATTTACATTCAATTACATGGAGGCTTCCCCTAACCTGGTCATCCTAGCTAGGGCTGACGGAAACTGTAGTTCCCTGGGGAGTTCTGAATTGGAAGAAATCTGCTACAAGAAATTTCTTTTCTACCATAAAGGTCACCCTTCTCAAGTGTTATCCTACACAAGAAAAATCATCGATGTGCATGGCTGATCAAGCCCTATCATGGCAACAAGATCTTTTGGTTTATAGTGCAAAATATTAAGCAGATGCAGAGGGCGAACATCTGACCACTTGCTAATAATACTTCGGTGCCATTGATTTAGGATCCTTGCAGTTTCTGCAGATAACACTGAGTTGTGAGAAAACGTTAAGAGCTGAAACCAATGTAATTTCAACCTGTGCTTCTTCCAATAACATCCCTAACAGCATTCAGGGAGGGAGGGAGGGAGGGAGGGAAGGAAGGAAGGATACAAAAGACAGATGTAAACAAAGCACAGTAGCCATTTTACTTCTTTAAAAACTACTCTATCAGAGCTGCACACTAGCATATGGATGAAGGGTGCCTCTATTCTAGGGATTGGACAGATGAATGTCAACTCCTTTGGTCTACATGAACCAGCAGCAAAGGCAAAAAGACAGTAACATAATGCCCTCTTCAATACATAGCATCATACAAAGAGATAATGTATGTGCTTTTGTTAACCGTGCTCTGCAGCTATACTACTGCATGCATCATACTCACTCTGAAGCTCCACCCATTCATACCTCCCCATTGACTAAGGGGGAAAAAAATCTAAACATCGATGGGGGTTCTGCTTAAACTGGCAAGGAGGGCACACGTGATCTGTAAGATCAAAATTTCTACGGTAATGGTGGAAGGCTTGCAGGATTCCCAAAATATGATACACGTTTACAGAAAAGCTTCCACGCTTAAAGGAAATGGTATCATGGTGATTGAGCTGTAGGATTAAGAGAGAAGAGAAGGTGAACTACAGGTTCTCTTCAAACCATAGGCTCAAGATTAACTGAAATCCAATGAGCACAATTAAATGCATAGCATTTTACCATAGTCAATGCTTCCACAGACTCTGTGGACTCTTCTGTTAATCCATATTTGTAAAAGCTTTCTATAAAGGAAAAAAGTGTATAGAAACACAATGTAAAACTGTAATCGAGATTATATATTCAAAAGAAGCTTAATTCTTGTAATAGCCTTTTTTCTTTTGGAATAAGCATCACCCATAACATTTTACATACACTTCTTAGAGCTTCCCACTGACTCTACCTCACTCAGGTTTTGACTAATTTTTTTTTAAACCAGCACAGCTTATGCTTCCTGAATAGCTGGAAAGTTTTGAAAGTTCATATTAAAAATGTTCCTCCAACAGTTTTTATGTGGAAAAAAAATGCTTAGCAAAGCAAAGCAGTAATAATTGCATCAAACACTGAGATGTTGGCTTATTACTTTACAAGTCAATTTAAAACTGTGGTTTAAACCTTGGTTTTCCACTACAATTCCTTCAGAGAGTTGATCCGTGCACAGATTTTTAGTGCAGGTCCTAGCTTAATATTCATTGCACTCATGAGATGATCCTCTTTTAATAAGAGAAGAGCCTGCCCATCAATCTCTTGGGCTCGAAATTCATCAGCAATATCTTGACAACCTGCAACAAATAACAAACATTACTAAGAAAAGAAGGCATGGTTGCCTTGAAATTAGGGATTTTCCAGCTTTGTTCAGTAACTTTTTGGTACATTAAAAGGATCGTATTTATCAGAGTCTAATCTGAATTTAGTAATTGCGCTGAATTTAGTTAGTCACGTTTGCATTTTATAGAATAAATTGCTTTTAATTCTCAGGGATTTCCATTCTTTTATGAACTATATAAGAGCCGTGGTGGTGCGGTGATTGGAATGCAGTACTGCAGGCTACTTCTGCTGACTGTGAGCTGCCAGCAGTTCGGCAGTTCAAATCTCACCAGCTCAAGGTTGACTCAGTCTTCCATCCTTCTGAGATTCGTAAAATGGGGACCCAGATTATTGGGGGAAATATGCTGACTCTGAAAACCGCTTAGAGAGGGCTGTAAAGCACTGTGAAGCAGTATATAAGTCTAAGTGCTATTGCTATTATTATGCTTCTATTTCTATCAGTGTAGAACTAACTTCTAATTTGAGGCTCTCCAGTTTTATTAGACTGTAATTCCTAGAATGTCCAATACATCTGTGGAAGGCCAGGGCTGGGGAAGCCTCTCCTAGAATCACCCAAGTATAGTATAGTATAGTATAGTATAGTATAGTATAGTATAGTATAGTATAGTACAGTACAGTACAGTACAGTACAGTACAGTACAGTACAGAACAGAACAGAACAGAACAGAACAGAACAGAACAGAACAGAATAGAATAACAGAGCTGGAAAAGACCTTGGAGGTCTTCTAGTCCAACCCCCTGCTTAGGCAGGAAACCCTACACCACTTCAGACAAATGGTTATTCAACATCTTTTTAAAAACTTCCAATGTTGGAGCTTTCACAACTTCTGGAGGCAAGTTGTTCCACTGATTAATTGTTCTAACTGTCAGGAAACTTCTCCTTAATTCTAAATTGCTTCTCTCCTTGATTAGTTTCCATCCATTGCTTCTTGTCTTACCCTCAGTTGCTTTGGAAAATAGCTTGACTCCGTCTTCTTTATGGTAGCCCTTGAGATATTGAAACACTGCTATCATGTCTCCCCTAGTCCTTCTTTTCATTAGACTAGACATACCCAGTTCCTGCAACCGTTCTTCATATGTTTTAGCCTCCAGGCCCCTAATCATCTTTGTTGCTCTTCTCTGCACTCTTTCTAGAGTCTCAACATCTTTTTTACATCGTGGCAACCAAAACTGAAGGCAGTATTCCAAGTGTGGCCTTACCAAGGCATTATAAAGTGGTATTAACACTTCACGTAATCTTGATTCTAGTGTTGCGTTAGATCTACAGTGATGATGTATACAGATAAAGATTCACCAGTTCTAAAATGCATTCTGTTGCATTTTAATCAATGTTGCTATCCTGATATTTTGTTCTAGTCACAACTTTTATCAACATATTTATCCAATACATGAGGAGACTGAATTTAATCTACACACTATGTTACAGGTGTGAAGTATTCTTTTTTTTCCCCTTAACAACTGGGTAAGCAATCTGAATGTCGGCAGGGTGAAACTCTAGTATGTACAATTACACCTTTGAGGGCTTCTGAGTAATCAAGAATTCAACAAATTTGCTGGATGGTGAAACACTACAGCTGGTTACCTTTCAAGTTTTACATTATCTTTTACGGTATTGGCTGAATGTTGATTAAGGCTAGAGTTACAATAGAACGATAAGAGTAACAAACTATTTTTTCCCGTCATAAAAACGACAGGCTTAAAGCTCTCTTGGATATCTGTTTAATGATCTTCTGAAGAGATTCTGCAGAGGACAGGAATGATATTGAAGACCTATTTTCTTACTCAAATAGTATGAACAGGCTGTCCTCTGCTTTGGAGTAACCGGGTTTTTAGTGCAGCTATTTAGGTGTTATGGGAGATAACTGTGTAACCCACTCTAAGCAGTTTACATAGTCAGCATATGGCCCCCAACCATCTGGGTCCTCATTTTACTGACATCGGAAGGATGGAGGGCTGAATCAACCTAAAGTGGAAACTTAACTAGAGGAAGGTGGAGAAATACTGACATATGTTTGTTTATAAAGAATGCTAAGGTATCTAAACGCAAAAGAAAATAGGTCCACAATATTATAATTAAATTTATAATTTAAAGAAGGGCTGAAATAGGCAATTAGAAGTACTGTTCATCACATATTTCCTGCTGATTATCAAACTCTCTAGGTGTACCTAATATTCACTTTAAAAAAACCCAGAACCTTGTGTGCTGCAAAGAAAACCACTAACCTCAAGAACTATGTATATTTATATATAAATATAATCTATATAAATAAAAATGTAAATGTTCGTTTGTTCAAAATCTTAAATCTCCGAAAGTTCACTGATTGCTTTGAAATTTTGACACAACGTTGCATTCGAATACGCACGTGTTTTTATATACCTATATTATATAGATGTCACACCTCTGACAGGTAAAAACATGCTTTTTTGAAAAACAGCACCATCTGTTGGAGTAAAAGCAACACACGCTATACTAAATATTTTACGATTCCATTTCAATGTTCACAGAGGGAAATTATTGGCACTTGGACAAAAAATATTGTATAGCCACAAGACTGAGCCACGGCAACGCGTGGCCGGGTACAGCTAGTATATATATATTTTTTTCTATACTTTTTCTTTTCCTTCTTATATTCTTCTTAGCTTGTATTAGTTTTTCATCTTTGTGTTTCTAAACTTTAACAGAGTTTTGTTATTATAAATTATTATATAAAAACGAACACCCTATATTAATATGCAACCCCTTTACATGGATCACGGAGTCATTCTTTTAAAATGGTGTGGGAATACATTCCAGGATTTTTGATAGCCTTACTGTATGGCAGATGAGTTAAGACAGAATGCAGAAGATACAGACTGTCTGCCATCCTGTTATGTCACCTGTCACACATGCAAATTATTCTTGTGGAATCTGAGAAAAGAACCAGAAAAAGAGTTTTCACACACAAGCAAGTCTTCTCAAAATATTCTGAAAGTAAATTTTAGATATATCACATGCAATAGGCTGTACATCTGACATTTTCCCAATGTTTTTGCAACGAAGTATGGACCTCATATACAAGTAGTCCTCGACTTACACAATTCATTCAGTGACCGTTCAAAGTTACAACAGCACTGAAAAAAGTGACTTGTGACTGTTTTTTTTCACACTTAACGAGTGTTACAGCCTCTCCATGGTCAGATGATCAAAATGCAGATGCTTGGCAACTAACTCGTATTTATGACGGTTGCAGTGTCCCGCGGTCATGTGTTCCCCTTTTGCGACCTCCTTACAAGCAGAGTCAATGGGGAAGCCAGATTCATTTAACAACCGTGTTACTAACGTAGCAACTGCAGGGATTCACTTAACAACTGCGGCATGAAAAGTCGTAAAATGGGGCAAAATGCAATTTAGCAAACGTTTCACTTAGCAACAAAAATGTTGGGCTCAAAGGCGGCCGTAAGTCGAGGACTACCTGTATTTCCCTCCCAGCGAAACTGTCTTAGCAAATTGACAAGATTTCCACTGCGTACCAGGTAACGAACGGATGAAGGCCCAGACATCTTCAACGGTCCAGCCCGATGGGACCGACGGCATGGCTGGCGACAAATCCATGTTGTCGACTGTTTTCCGAATTCTCAGTTCCCTAAGTTCCCGCTCCCTTTCTCTCTCGCTTTGCCTTCGCAGGCGAGTGGTCATGGCAACTGGCACGCTGTCTTCTTGAGAGGCCAAGTCTTCTTCTGCAGATGGATAAGTAATTGGTAGCTGGAAAATGCAGTACAGACAAACCAGAGTATAACCATTTTCCTTTGCAACTCTTGTTAAAAGGACACCGTGGAGTTCAATTAGTATTCTACAGACCTGTCGAAGGAAGTGCTCCCTTGGAGCTCCATCAGAGCCACTGGGACGCCGCCCTCGCCGCCCAAGAGCTGGGTTATCTGGACTACGGCTCCAACGGCTGCTCTTGTCTGATGAGTATAATCCAAATTTCTTACCACAGCTCACATTATACCTAGATGCAAATGACGAAAAGGTATGCAATCATCATTATAATGCTTCTACAATGAAAACCATCAAAAATTTCAGTTGAGGTAAACAGATAGAACAATTAACCAGCGGAACGACTTGCCTCCAGAAGTTGTGAAGGCTGCAACACTGGAAGTTTTTAAGAAGAGACTGGACAACCATTTGTCTGAAGTGGTATAGGGTTTCCTGCCTGAACAGGGGGTTGGACTAGAAGACCTCCAAGGTCCCTTCCAACTATTCTATTCTATTCTATTCTATTCTATTCTATTCTATTCTATTCTATTCTATTCTATTCTATTCTATTCTATTCTATTCTTCTAAAATGGGGTTAGAATTGATGGCAGAGTGCCTTTAGTCTCATCGCAAAAAAGATGTTAAGATTCAGTCACTACAACTTGTAATTCAAATAAATAATGTTTATTTCAATACTCTGGATGAAATACATACAACCATGTACACACTGGAAGTAATTTACTCACTACCTATTATGGCTTTAACTGATGTAGTCACTTCATTGCAAAATATATTCACAAATTTTAAAGAAGTAAAGATTTGATTTGAAATGTTTACATTAAGCGCTGTGTGTGTGTGTGTGTGTGTGTGTGTGTGTGTGTGCATTTCTTTTATAGCTTGCATTTCCCCCAAAGGTTCACTGTGGCTAATACAGTGGTTTTTTTATTTTATTCCTGCAATTCCCACCCATGAGATAGATTGGGATGAGAGAGTGATTGGTTCAAAAACTTGGCTGAGGACAGGCTATAAAATGTATTTCTCCATTCCTCCTCTGTACTTGGTGGAGATTTATCACTTTTGATTTTTTACATACTTTAACGATTCTTCAATGATTTTTAAAATGTACCAACTGAATACTACTACAATTTAAAATGAGCTTTGTCGTTTCCCTTTAATATTGCTTAGGTTGAAAACCTATTTCCTTTTTTGTTTTAATTGCTTTTAACTTACAAAAAATAATTTTTCCAATGAACTTGATCTCTATTTTCAAAATATTATTGTTCTCTAAAGTTGTTTATGGTGTTACAAGTTTCTGATTAAATACAATCTTTCTTAAAGATTTTTAAGAATCTTAAAAACCTGAAGGGATAGAAGAAGAAAACTGAAAAAAGAAAAGAAAAAAATCCATTTGAAGGGATGAAAGTTTGCAAATTCACCTCAGTAAAACTTTGGAGGCAGAAACTTGATTTATAGAATGAGAGAGAGGGAGAAAGAAAGATTAATGAACTAGTTTATATAATGTACAACTTTTTCTTCGAGCTTATATTCCTTTGATACAAGGACAGGTATTAGTCTGTTCCAGTGTATAAATAATATTTCTGATTTCCAAGCTTGTCTTTTAAATATATATATACTACCCAACCATTTAATACCATATCCTTATGGATGGAACCAGCAAATCCTTTACTTAGGATCATCACAGCGAGTACCTACCCTGTTTCCCCCAAAATAAGACATCCCCTGATAATAAACCCAATCGGGCTTTTGAGCGCATGGCAATAAGGCCAAGCGCTTATTTCAGGGTTCAAAAAAATATAAGACAGGGTCTTATTTTCGGGGAAACACGGTATGTTTGGGACTCATCTGATCTAGTACATAAGAATTTGATTCCAAATCGTGCGATGTATTCATGGTTTTTACAAACTCTAAAATGATAACTAATGAAGAATACCTCTTAGCGCAGGACATGGTGCAGAACCGTTTCGACCTCAGGAACTTGTTCGCGTACCCCATTTTCCCACAAAATTCACACTTGAGGAGATCTGTCTCCATCTCATCCAATCCCTCTAAAGGAAAGAGCAGAATAAATGAAGTTAGTTTGAACCATTCCATTGCAGCAGAAGTCTTTGAAACGCCCATGTCTTGGGGAATTGTATGCCAAAATGACCTGGTGTTTGGCAGCGACTCTGAAAAGCTAGTGGTCATGAGGAAGGCCTTTCCTCATGATTGAACCTTCCTTGATTTAAAGACAAGATTTTTTTTAAACAAAGGAAAAATGAAGTAAATCAAGAACGCATCATTAGTTCTGCCAGATTAAGATCAAATTTTTAAAAATCTATCCGTGGACCAACTCACCCTAGGAACCTCATATATTATTACAATTAACCTCATTAATTGTGAATAGATTCACAAATAAAATTAGAAATTGAAAATGTTTTTCTGCAATTAAACTATATGTCCAGCCTGCCTAGTTCCAACTTCTTAAAATATCAGGGCTCACCATCAGAAATACAGGGGCTTCTGTAATACTTAGTAATACTTAGTTAATGACAGGCGTACTTAATTAATGACACGCTAACAAGTGTTGGAACTTGCAATACCACTGAACAAGTGGTACTGACAACTGCTTCTCTAAATTCCAGCTGCTGTAACAATCCCATGATCATGTTTGAGACTTTTCTTTCCAGCTTCTCACAAGTAAAATCAATGGAGAAGAGGCAGAAGTCATGGTCACATGACATCCTCAATTCAACAACTTGTGCAGTCCTCATTTAAAGATAGCAACTACTGACAACTGACATTGTTCAGCAAGGACTACCTGTAACTTCTATTCAGTAACCAAATTCTTTTAAACTGAACACCAGAGTTTTTAATACCAAGACCATCCACATATATAGCAATAGCACTTAAACTTATATACTACTTCACAGCCCTCTCTAAGCGGTTTACAGAGTCAGCATATTGCACCCCAACAATCTGGGTCCTCATTTTACCCACCTCAGAAGGATGGAAGGCTGAGTCAACCTTGAGCCTGGTGAGATTTGAACTGCCAAATTGCTGGCCACAGGCAGTCAGCAGAAGTAGCCTGCAGTACTGCATTCTAACCACCGCGCCATCACGGTATATGTCAGTGATGGCTAACCTTTTTGCCATCGCGTGCCAAAAGTGGGGGGAGTGCGGGGGTGTCACATGCGCGTGCCCACACCCATAATTCAATGTGCGTGCACATGAGACACCCCCCCCTGTGGGGCCATTTCCGGCCTCCTGAGGCCTCCGGGGGGGTGGGGGGCGGCTGTTTTTGCCCTCCACAGGCTCCTAGAAAGCCTCTGGAGCCTGGGAAGAGCAAAAAAAGGGCCTTCCCGACCCACCCCGGAGGCCCTCCAGAGGCCGGAAACAGCCTGTTTCCTGACTTCCGGTGGGCCCAGAAAGCTGAGCTAGGGCAACACTCGCATGCCCACCGATATGGCTCCACATGCCACCTGTGGCACACATGCCACAGGTTCGCCATCACGGGTATATGTGATTCGATTTTACTCTCTAGTGTCTAGTACACAAAAACAGGCACATTGTGTTGTCCTGTGCATTTTGGCTTGAAATTGTATGACTTTTGAGCCTGTAAAACCATACATACTTTAGCAAATAAGAGTTCCTACATACACAGGTTTACAAGTGTCAGCATTCAAAACTCCAGTCCTGCATAGAGTTTCTGAGATCAAGGCTCATTAAAATTAAAAAAAAAAGACTGATAACAATATGGCTTGTCCTCCAAGTTAATAAATTTAGGACTAATGAAAGAGACATGGTATTTTCCAAGTAAATTCTTATCTTTTTTTTTAAAAAGCCCATAAACAGTATCTAATATCAATTTCCATCACTCGCACTGCTCAGTCATATGTCAATCAAACCTCTGACTTTTATATAGTGAGGAAAAAAGCCTCCAATAATATCCTGGTGTGCCAAGTTTAACTATATTATATCCCACATGCAATTTTAAAATTCAAAATATTCAAAACTTAAACCTTTAATTCACAGAATTAAAGGTAGTCCTCAACTTACAACGGTTCATTTAGTGACTGTTCAAAGTTGCAACAGCACTGAAAAAGTGACTTATGACTGTTTTTCACACATACGATTGTTGCAGCATCCCCATGCTCATGTGATCAAAATTCAGATGCTTGGCAACTGACTTATATTTATGATAGTTGCATTTGTCCCAAGGCCTCTTTTGTGACCTTCTAACAAAATAAATGGGGAAGCCAGTTTTACTTAACAACCATGTTATTAACTAAACATCAACATTAAGTGATTCACTTAACAACTGTGGGAAGAAAGAGACAAATGCCTCACTTCACAACAGAAATGTTGGGCTCAATCGTGGTTGTAAGTCGAGGACTACCTGTATTCCCTGAAAGAATGAATATTGCTTGCCCATGGTAATAATAACAATACACATTTTAACCTACCGGTATAAACATTTGAATTTTCCACCTTATTCTGTGCAGTGCAAATTGCTGTATTTAAATTCACTGTTAATATTCAATAAACCTTGGATGAGCTGAAGCATTCACCAGATTACCACCAGCAGGAATTTAAAGATGGATTCAAGTGACCCATTCATGCAGCCAATGCAACTTTTATTCCCGTTCAGTTACAACAGTGCTTCCATATCTTCTTCCAGAGCTCTTAAATTAATCTAACATGAAAACCTAAAGCCAGGTACAGGGTGTTCCCTTGCAATTTTCAGCACTGACACCTTACAGTTGATTTGTAACTTCATTGCAACGAACTCTTTTAAGAATCTGGTATCTCAAAGGTGGGAAGGTGACTCTGGATGATATTTAAATCTCCTGGTAAAATAGAGGGCTAAATATTCAGATTAAGTGAAATACAAAAACCTTCAGTAATTATGTCCTCCATCTCTGTGTCCGAGGAGTTGTCTGCATGTTTGGCATTGTTCTGAAGCTCTGGTTCGACACACAGAACATTCACAACTTGTTCTTCCAACAAGAGTCTCTTTTTTGCAGGCTCGTCAATCAGAAGAGATGAACAACTTACCTGTTAAGAGAGAAAGATGAAATCATTAACCAAAAAAAAAAAGAAAAAAAAAAGAAGTTTGGTTTCTCATATCAAGTGTCTGAAGATTTCAGGGCTTTGCTGATCTTATAGTCTAGTTACTGCTACAAGGACATACAGAGCCATAGATTAGATGCTTCCGTCAATTTCAAAGATAGGCACTAGTGTAGCCGTTTGGGGTCCAGAGGCTATGGGTGAACCAACATATGGAAGAAAATGGGAAATGAAACATGGAGATATGAAGAGGAAAAATCAGATTTTTAAAATGAAAAAACCTTTGTTTGAATCTTCCATTTGTGGCTTTGGAATGAGATGCCACAGAAAAACAAAAATGTCATCTTCTGAACACATTCTGAGCTACTGTTCTATTCTTTTCAGAGGAAATGGATTATTATATAACAGGATTATTATAATCCTGTTTTCCATGCACAGGAAAACAGACTGAGAAATATAACTTTTTTTTGTTATGAATGAGAGTAACCAACTTTAGGGTGAAAGGCCGTAAGTTGAAAACACACATTTATATTTACTCTCTGTGTGTGTATGTGTGTGCTGGTATTTTCCATTTGCCTTTGAATACGCAGCTCTTATGTGCAATTTTGCAAGCTGCGCTGAATGCTAACAGTACATTTAAATTTAACAATACATTTAATAATAAAGGAGTACAAATAATTGCATTTATGAAATAGAAAAGTATTGAGCTTTAGTTGTATTTAAAAACTGTCTTCAACAAAAAGGCAGAAGAGTCCATGCTTCCTGCCCAATGGAAAATGTCACCTTACTTCTACCCTGATGGCTTATCTTCTTTGAGAAGCAACCTACCCTTGGGAAAGAACTGTTTTCACTCAAAAAGACAATGGGAAGGACAAACAAAAATCAAGACAAGGAATCACACTTCTCAACCATACACTGATTATTCCTCAACTAGGGATCTTGTTTCTCTTGAACCCCTGCCCCCAGCATAAGTATTTTTTTAAAAAAAAATCCAAACAAAAATAACTTAAAACAAATCAGTTTTAAATATAGTTTAAATGTAACTTTAAAGAGACATTGTTTTGTTTTTTAAAATCCCCAATCCAAAATTATTGATGGATTGATCCCTGACATCTATGTTCAGGTTATGCTTTTTCCTTCCCAGAGTCAACGTGGTTTACAGAGATTTGCAGGGAGCAAATACAATCATTACTAAGACTTACCGGTTCATCAGAATTATATTTATCAAATATATTTAGCTACACAGTTCACCAGAAGTGACTCTGGTGAGAATGCTGTTGATGTTGGTCATTTTGCTTTTATGCTTACTCTTGATAACACTCAACATATATTTTATGATTAACTTACAAAATTTGGTGGGTAGGAACATGAACCTTTGAGGCAGAGATTGTAGGAAGAGTCTCTGGTGGCAAATATTCTGGCCCACCTTTTCCAACCAACTGGTGACCTTCTACCGCTGCACCATAGAGAGTACTTTAACTTACTGTACCTGTGTATGGTTTGCCAATTGCACAGTGGCAGATAGGACAGCACTCCAGAGGGTCAATGTTATTGCCCAGAGGATCACTGGTTGCTCTCTCCCCTCCTTGGAAGAACTTTATAGCTCCCGCTGACTTAAGAAAGTTCAAAAAATTCTTAACGATCCATCTCATCCTGGGTACCCTTTTTTTTGAACTACTACCATCTGGCAGATGGTACAGGATAATAAAAACAAGGACAAATAGGCTGAAAAACAGCTTCTACCCCAGGGCAGTAACTATATTGAATTCTACGGTATAGTGCAATATTAATGCAATATCAGGGTTTCAATTTCAATTATATAGAATGTGAAGGATGTGTTGGTGTTTTTATTTTTATAGTTATAATGTACACTGAAGATGGCATTTAATTTCGTTGTACGATGTGCAATGACAATAAAGTAAACTAAACTAAACTAAACAACAAATTTTACTAAAAGGCATACATTTTTGTGAGTTGTCTGATTCTTTCTGGCAGAGATCATTCTGATTGCAGTCACCAAAGTTCAGAACATTGTTGGGCAGAAAACTTAAAACTTCACTGACTTCATGAAGAACAGATAATTACTAATAAGACAATTAGTCTAAATTATTCAGAATAACAAAGATTAAAGAAACAGAAGCCCCAAATAACCACAGCACATTGCCTTTTAAAAGGAAAATATCACACATACAAGGTGCAACGATGTATTTTTTTACACTTACAGGAAATGGTTCTAAACCCTCTTGGATCACAAAGCCCTCAATGACATGAGTCAGGATTTGTGGTTTAACGATAGCCTGTGGAAGTTTGTTTTCTATACTAGGGTTTCTATTGGACACTGATGCGCTGTTAGTCCTTGTTGCAATTGCTGGGAGCAAAAGAGGTGGCTGTGGAATAGAGGCATGTGAAGGGTCTGATGGTGATTTAATTACAGATGCGCTGACTGATGAGGCCATTGAAGAATGTCCCTCTTGTTCTGGAAGAAAAGTAATGTATGTATTTTTAAATAACTCAAATATCTTCATAATTATAGAAAGCAATACTTTTATTCATAACTTGGCTACTACAGAAGTCTCTTCCAATATTTATTGCATCAACTGACATGGACCTTTGGAAAATGAAGCAGAACTGGGGACCATATAGAACTTCCACACATTAATTTCTTCTGGAGCAGGCGGACTATGGTTCTACTGGGGCTTTGCTGCCCTCATGAGATTGATCGTATCTCCAGATTCCTCCTGCTCCAGCAAATTTATTTACCCATTTGCAGCCACCCCTAGATTTCTGGATGGCTCTACTTCTGCAAGACCCAATGCCTAAATTAGACTTCTTTTGACATATCAAGGCTCTGGTTTTGGACTAAAAGAACTCTATGGTTGTTGGGGCTTTGCAAAAGAGGTCTTCAACAAATCAGAAAACCATCAGTGGCTTCAAGATTGACAAGCTAGTAAGGGAGAGGCCAATGGATAAAGAGCAGAATGGTTTAATCCTCTTCCTTCTAGTAATCTCAGTTGTAACAAGGCTCCCCTTGTGAATATATTCTTGACAATGTCCAGCCTACCACCAAAACTCTGCATACAGCCCATGTGGACAATATCCCACCACCAATGTTCTATCTTTGAAAGCATCCATCCCTGCTTGCTTTTAAAACGCACAAGGAATAACTCAAGTAGCACTTTTATCTACTGCTCTTCTGAGGTTTGCAGACATCTTAAGTGAAACAATTTGCGGCTCAACCATGCTCTGTTAACCTGCACGGCTGTTAGCTTTTTTCCTCCCTGTAACTTAATTATTCCTTGTGTTGCATTCTAAGATAACAGCTCTTGCCTTTCTTTCCTCTGACATTTCTTTCAATAAAGGAGAATATTTGTAGCTCAGGGCTGAAATGAGGGGTCCTTGGTGATCTCTGAGCTTGTTTGTTTTCTTGCAGATGTTTCATTACCCAAACTAAGTAACATCATCAGTGCTTTTTTTTTTTTAATTTGATTTATATGCCACCCTTCTCCGGAGACTCAGGGCGGCTTACAATGTGCTAAGCAATAGCCTTCATCCTTTTGTATATTTATACAAAGTCAGCTTATTGCCCCCACAACTGGGTCCTCAATTTACCTACCTTAGAAAGGATGGAAGGCTGAGTCAATCTTGAGCCTGGTGAGATTCGAACCTGCAGTAATTGCAGGCAGCTGGTCTTAATAACAGGGTGCTTTAGACCACTGTACTACCAAGGCTCTTTTGTCTGAATGTTACCTAGTTTCGGTAATGAAATGCCTGCAAAAAAACAACCAAGCTAGCACCAGGGGCCCCTCTGATATTTCTTCAAGTATAAGAAGAGATCCACTGTGTCCCCTTTTAGTCTTCTCTTCTCAAATCTGACCATTCCCAGTCCCTTTTCTTTTTCTCTCTTCATAGGACTTCATTTCTAGCTCTCTGGTTAGCCCGCCTATCTCTGATGCTGTTCTAATTTGCCTGAATCCTGCTTCAATTTTAATGTTATGTAATTGTCCTGTGCAAATAAGTGCAATAATGGAAGATTACTTAGCTAACCAAATGAATCAGTGGACTAAAATGGGGTTGAAATGCAATGTTCATTGTGGGAATTTAGCATGCAATGACGAACACAATATAGACACAATATATTTTTTTATCGATTACCGACACCTGGCTTGCAGAGGATCACAGAGTTTTGTAGCTCTAGAAAGTTTGGAAGTTTCGGTTTCCTAATAGTTCTCTTTCACCAGATAGGGAAAAACCCACCTTAGGCAATATATATAGTCTCATTATTTTCTCTAATTCCTACAGCTCAGCAACACCCTACTGTCAGTTACTGGGAGCTTTATGTTGTCTTCTCTGTCAGGCTTGCCTCTTACTAGTTTCTTCACCTGATTATATGGATGTTGGGATTCCTTGCCAGTGACAGCTTTGGAAGCCATATTAGGCCAGAAGCTTCCATGCTGCCACCTTCTCATGTGTGGGAAAGTAGGAGGGGGGATTTAGTAGAGGGGTTGTCTTTAGACATAATAGCATTCTTCCTGTTGGTCAAGGTCAGGCCGATCCTGCATCTGGAGAAGGAGTGGTCGGAGTGCTGAGTCGAGATGGGACGGACGTTGATTGGAGCATGTGATCGACTGAGGAGTGAGGGGATGGTTTTGGGGGTTTTGATTAACTGAGGGAAAACCCGGACCTTTCAGATTCAGGTTTTCCCAGATGTGCCAGTTTACCTATTCTAGTAAAGAGAACTTTGGAAAATGCTTGCTTCCACGTCTTTACTCGGGGTTGGGGTTTTCTGGAACGCTGACAGTCAGCTCTGTAGCCCCCATATACTTGTTCCCACAATACAACTAGCTCTCTCCATTGCCTCCAATATTTTTGAGCTGCAAAACTACAAGCCCGAAAAGGAGAAGGTTTATTTTAAGCCCTAAGCCTGAGGTGCCAAGATTAAGAGAGATCACGTTGATGATATTCCTCCTCTTCTTTCTGCCTTGCACCAAGGATGACTTTATGTTCTTAAGACAAGGCAATCCAATCCAATCCAATCCAATCCAATCTATGAGCTTCCACATTCTTGCTTTCAATTTACAACAACAAAGCAACAAGCCTGACTTTCAAAATGCCTTCAGCGTTACTGCCCAGTCCTTAAACCTTAAAGGTGATATGTCTATGGAAATGCTCAGTCATCCAGGTCATGGTTGTCCCCAAGGTACTTTTTTCAAGTGGCAACTGGACTTTCTGGTTTTTCATTTTGCTTCTCATCCAAGAAGCTTCTTCAGCTCTGACTGGATGGTGGGGAATGGAAAGATTTATACTCCTTGCAGACAGCTGGTCATTTCTGTTCTTTTAGCAGGTTGTTAAGGCCACCTGGAGGTTTATCTAAATCATAAGGGTCACCTGAGTGGTGCAAATTGGTGTGGAGCCTTCTTGGAACTGTGGAAAGGACCGTGTTAAAGAGGCCATCTATGTCAAAATTGAACAGCCCTCTCTCAACAGAGTAGGAGGGATACAACATCATCTATCTCCAATCTACAACACAGTCCTTTCAACAGTTCCAAGAAGGCCACACACCCGTTTGCACCACTCAGGTGACCCCAATGACACACATAAACCTCCAGGTGACCTTATCGATCCACTAAAAGGATGCAAATGATCAGCTGTCTGCAAGGACTATAAATCCTTCCATTCTCCGCTATCCAGTCAGAGCTGAAGAAGCTTCTTGGATGAGAGGCGAAACGTCTTCAAAGAAAAACCAAAGAGTCCAGTTGCCTGTTGAAAAAAAGCACCTTTGGGACTTACAGGTGATACCATGAAACAAGAAATCCGAACCAGAAACTGGGCTCAGTTAAAATACCACAATGTGTTCTTTTTCTCACCTGGAAAAGTGTCTTCATAAGAAAGCTCTTCTCGGCTTCTTAAAGTGATAGCTGGTGGTGACAGCGTTGGTGGGGTGGGAGTCCTAGCCATACGAGCAACATCTGAGTCCTCAGGCATCTCATCTTCACAGATATCTTCCTCCTGGTAAAGCTGCATTGAACAAAGCAACCCACTTTAGAGTCAAGCTTTGTGGGTATTTTGTCAACAATTTGAAAAATTATTACATTGTAAGTGCAACTACTGTCAATTTATTATTAAAATCAATTCTCAAGAAATGTATTAAATTTTTAAAGGCAAAACCTTAAAAACAGATTAGATAGCAGGCTGAATCAAATTATTAAACAAATTATTATTTACAAAAGAACATATATATATACCGTTTCCCCAAAAATAAGACATCCCCTGATAATAAGCCCAATTGGGCTTTTGACCGCATGCACTAAAATAAGCCTCCCCCCGAAAATAAGCCCTCCCCAAAAATACTGAAATGTAGAGCTAGAAATCAGGTAAGATGACAAGAGGAGCTTCATCTTGCTTCACGCGCCTCAAAATAATAAGACCTCCCCAAAAATAAGGCCAAGCGCTTATTTCAGGGCTCAAAAAAATATAAGACAGGGTCTTATTTTCGGGGAAACACAGTATGTATATGTATGTATATTATATATGTATATGTATATATACATATATATGTTTGTTTTCTCAGGTTTTCGCGGGTGTTTGTATGTAGGTCTTTGGTTATTCGGGTCTTCTCCCACGTAAAATTGGAAGTGTCTTGGCGACGTTTCGACGAAGTCTCATTCGTCATCTTCAGGCTGGTGTTCTCGGCTTCGTGCTTCCAGGAGGAAGCATATATATATATGTTAAGATTTTAATTTTTTATATTTTTCTTACTTCTTCCTCACTGTTAGGAAGTTTCTCTTTAATTCCAGGTTGCTTCTCTCCTTGATTAGTTTCCATCCATTGTTTTTTGTCTTACCCTCTGACACTTTGGAAAAAAGTAGACCCCTTCTTCTTTGTGGCAGCCCTTCAAATACTGCTATCATGTACTGCTAGTACTTCTGTTCTCTTGACTGGCCATATCCAATTCTTGCAACTGTTCTTCATATGTTTTTGTATCCAGGCCCTTAATCATCTTAGTTGCTCTTCTTTGCACTTTTTCCAAAGTCTCACTATCTTTTTTGTAACGTGGTGACCAAAACTGGATGCATATTCCAGGTATGATCTTACTAAGGCTTTAAAAAGTGGTACTAATACTTCACCTGCTTTTGATCCTATGCCTCTGTTTTTACAACCCAGGATTGTATTAGCTTTTTTGCCTGCTGTCACACACTGCTGACTCATGTTTAAGTGAGTCAGGGCCCATTGTTCAAGTCTTTTAAGATCTCTTTGGATCCTGAGCTTGTTTCCTGGGGTGTTGGCCAGTTTAGTGTCATCTGCAAATTTGATTAGTTCCCCTTCTATTTCCTCACCTAAGTCATTTATGAAGATATTGAAGAGTACTGGGCCTAAGATGGAACCTTGTGGCACTCCACTGCTTACTTCCTTACATGTAGATCAGTGGTGCCCCCCCACCCCCGTTCGGACCGGTTCCATAGAACTGGTAGTAAAATCGGAGGGAGGCTCTGCCCACCGACCCCGATGTCATCAGAATGCTTCTGCGCATGCGTGCGACCCGTTGCGAACCAGTAGTAAAGGTAAGTAGAACCCACCCCTGATATAGATATAGTGCCATTAAGGACTACTCATTGAGTATGGTTTGTCAGCCAATTACAAATCCATCTGGTGTGATGCTGTCTAGCCCACATTTTTCTAGTTTACCAAGAAGTAGGTTGTGGTCTACTTTTTTGAATGCTTTGCTGAAGTCTAAGTATACTATGTCCACAGTATTTCACTGTTCTACTAATTTAGTCATTCTGTCAAAGAATGAAATAAGATTGGTTTGACATGATCTGTTTTTAACAAACCTGTTCTGGCTACTAGTTATAACTTTATTTACTTCTAGATGTTCACAGATCTGTTTTTTGATTATCTTTTCCAGGATCTTCCCAGGTATTGATGTTAGGCTAATTGGTCTGTAGTTTCCTGAGTCTTGTTTCTTTTTTCCTTTTTTGAAGATGGGAATCACATCAGTTCTTTTCCAATCCTCTGGTAGTTCCCTGGTGCTCCAGGATTTTTTAAATTCTGCCAGGTCCTTCAGAATTCTGAGATATAATCCATCAGTCCCAGTGATTTATATTCATCAAGATCAGAGAGGTGTTCTCTTACCATTTTCTTGATTATTTTAATTTTTATTTCTAGTCTGTCTTTTATAGATATGTGTTTGGTAGGTTGAGCTATAGTTTCTTTTTGCGTGAAGACTGATGCAAAGAATGAGTTAAGCAGCTCTGCTTTCTTTCTGTTACTTCCTTGCCATCTTCTCTCTTTAATGGACCGACTCTTTTCTTGTTATTTATATGTAAAAGAACCTTTTATTATCTTTGACTTTTGTTGCAAGTCTTTATTCATTCTGAGCCTTTACTTTCCTGACTTCGTCTTTGCAGATTTGGGCTATCTGCTGATATCCTGCCTTAATTATGTCCCCTTCTTTCCATTTTTTTCTACTTATCCTTTTTGTCCTTCAGTTTATCAGAGAGATCTTTATGCAGCCATGCATAAATCTTATTGGATTTCTTGTTTTTCTTTTTCAGTGGTATTGTGCTAGACTGGGCTTTTATGATCATACTTTTCATAGTTTCTCACGCCTTAGGATTTTTATCCATGGAATTTTTCTTAGGCTCTGTCTGAGTTTGTTAAAATCATCTCGGTTAAAGTTTAAGGCACTAGTTGGATTATATTCTATTATAAGCTGTTCAGATGTTTTGTAACAGGCTGGCAAATTTTTCCTGCTGAGTTGATGGATGGATGTGGGTTGCTAACCTCATCTCTATTCTACCTGTATAATGAATAAATCCAACCTACTCTACATCAGTACAATTGTTTCACCAGTATAGTACAACTGTTTCACACCAATACAATACTTGTTTTTTTGGAAGAAACACATCAGACAATAGGATATGCAAACTATTTTTCCATTTGTTGCTGAACATGGCAAGAAATAGTTAACTCTTAACATGTTGGAATGAGCTTCTAAAATGTTGTTAACTTTGTAGTGATTAAATTGTTAACTATATAAGAACACAATTACTAAAATGCATTTTATTTGTCCTATGGTTTATACACCATTTTTTTTCCTTGTAGCCAGAGGCAAGTTACACTAATTTTCTGTTAACCTCCTATAACAGCATGAGAGCCATATTTTCAAGCCTTATACAGTGTGATGGTTGTATGTTTTCCAAAGATGCGGCATCCCACAGCATAGAAAACAACTGTATGTACTCTTTATTATAGCACACATCTTCCCCAACATTATGCTGTTGCTCTGAATTCTTGACACCCTCCAAGGCTTTACAAGTTGATATAGTCAAATAAAGAAGCTGTTGGATGGAGGTGGTGGGTGCACAAATAAAGAAGGCACACTCATCTCTTCCCCCAAACCCATGTTTTTTTAGTTTGTTTTAATTTTTGTAATTTTAATCTGTTTTTATATTTATAATTGTCGGATATTTGTATATTATCTTACTATAAACCACTCAGAGTTGCCTTGAACCGTGACATGGGCAGTAAATAAATTTGATAACAATAATAATAAATAGATCTTTGATGCTCAGTCCTTGCTGTGTATTAAAGTCTTAACGTTTGTAAAGTGGCATATAGCCTTTGCTTCACTCCAAAGGTTCTGGTGTTTGTTGGGATTAGGTGTCTCAGCATGGCTGTTTTTCTTCTGATTGCTGCTGAGCTGGAAGCTCTGCTCTTAAACTGTGTTGCTACTGAGCACTCCAGCTGAACTGTCAAGCTGAGCTCCTAGCAGGAATCATACTAAGATATGCTCACCGTATCTGGTGGTCCTGGCTACCTTTTTGCTGCCTTTAATGGCTGTAATTGCCCAAACATTGCTTCCTTGTCTGCTTGCTCCTACACACCCACACATGCTCTGTGTTTCCCTTTTGTAGACTAAGAGCATGAATGAGATGAGGTGGGTGCAGACACAGCACATGTGACGCAGTGCAGAGGTGAAATCCAGCAGGTTCTGACAGGTTCTGGAGAACCGGTAGCGGAACTTTTGAGCAGTTCGGAGAACCGATAGAGGAAATTTTGAGTAGTTCAGAGAACTAGCAAATACCACCTCTGGCTGGCCCCAGAGTGGGGTGGGAATGGAGATTTTGCAGTATCCTTCCCCCAGGAGTAGGGAGGGAATGGGGATTTTGCAGTATCCTTCCCCTGCCATGCCCACCAAACCATGCCCACCAAGCAACACTACACCCACCAAGCCACGGCCACAGAATTGCTAGTAAAAAAAATTGGATTTCACCACTGGTGCAGTGGTTAGAGTGCAGTACCTCAGGCTACTTCTGCTGCCTGCCGGCTGCCTGCAATTTGGCAGTTCAAATCTCACCAGGCTCAGGATTGACTCAGCCTACCATCCTCCCAAGGTAGGTAAAATGTGGAGCCAGATTGTTGGGGGCAATATGCTGACTCTGTAAACCACTTAGAGAGAGCTATAAAGCACTGTGAAGCGGTATGTAAGTCTAAGTGCTATTGCTATTCCTCAAAATGCCAGGGTGTAGTTCAATTAGCCAGATAACTGGGACGCCATCATGGATGCCTGTGAGTGAGATTATGTCATTTCTCTCAGCAAACTATGTGGTGTAAATGAACCCACCTTCTCTCACGGTTCTGAGGCTGTAAACTTTTATGGACTTTCGGGAAAGTGGAATTGGGAAATGTTTCTATGTGTTGCGTCTGCTTTCCCAAATAGAATATAGAATAATAGGGTTGAAAGGCATTTTGGAGGTCTTCTAGTCCAACCCTCCTGTCAGTGGCATATACCATTCTGAATTCTCTTTGGGCTTGATGGCATTGATACATGTGATCATAGAAAAAATAGCAAAATAACAGAACAGAATAATAGAGTTGGAAGAGATGCTGGAAGTCCTCCAGTCCAACCCTCCACCCAAGCATGAGACTCTATATCATTTCAGACAATGGCTGTCCAATATCTTTTTAAAAACTTCCAGAGATGGAGCACCCACAACTTCTGGAGGCAAGCTGTT